CATTAACGGACACTGTTTAACATTTGTCTATTTTAAATTACATTTCACTTAAAAATATTAAATTGTTTATAATATTTATCATTTTAGAAAATTAAAAAATGTTTATTTTTACAATAAGTTCTTATTTATCAACTCCTCGCTTAATGATTTAATTAATTTGCAACTATACTTTAATTTTTTAATAAAAATATTTTGATCAAAAGAGACTATCTTCCTATGATATATGTAATTAATAATCATTTTAATTTTTTTTATTCATAAAATTTGTAAGACAATAACAACATTCAATTCTAAGACTTCATATAGATATTATTTCAACCCTTACTACCAAGTTGATTGATATTAATGATTATCTTATGTGTCAGTTGAATAACAAAATTTCACACTATATTATTAACTAGTACTGCTTTAAGAAATTGGTTAAGTAATTAATGAGTACTACTTTTTATTTATTTATTGGAAATCACAATAAAACTATTTAGATATTATGGTAAATTGGTAGTAATGCTTTTTCATGAATTTTTCACTTTTGATTCTAATATCTTAAAGACATTGATTAGAATTTTGTCCATTTTAAATGAAGCACTTCCCTTAATTTTATACATTCTACAAGACATGCAGTAGATATTCATTGATTAGGGTCCAACAGATATTTAGGTCTTAAAATATTGCTGTTCAGAGCTCTATATTGCTTCCGACATCTTTGATCTGACAAAATATCGTTAGGTTAAGGTTTTAAAAAAAATACTAATTTTTAACAATATCGATAGATATTCTTACTAATATTATAGTAAAAAAATATTATATTTATTAAAAAAAATTATCTATATATTATTAAAAAATATTTTTATACACACAATAAATATAATATATTGATATATTATTAAGAAGTGTGAGTATAATTAAGTTATAATAATACATAAAATATATTATCAAATTTATTCAAAATAAATATTAAAAGTATATGTAATTATATATTAAATAAATATATATTTACATATATTGATATATAATAACATTTTTAAATGTGTAACTTTTTTTTTAAGTGTTCCGACATAATTTGAGGCTAAAAAATAATTCAAATTCGATTGATATACGTGAGTGGTGACTGAAATTGTAGGGAGACATGATATGCTATATAAAAAGAAGAATTTCAAAAAACCCCACAAGTCCAATCATGTAGATAAATAGTTCTAAGCTCCTTTTTCTGTCACACGTAACCCTCACTTCCTACGTGATTGCACGAAACGCGATCAGTTATTGAATTGAGATTGAATCAATGGAACAAGAAAGTTTCATGGATATATATTGCATCAGAAGCATTGGAGCAGCTGCAGTGGGGAACAGGCACTAGAAAGATTACCAGAACAGCAAACCAGCATGACATGATATATAGATCTTGTTGAGAGATAATTTGTAAATTCTTTTATAAGTGTTCATAGAATGTTAACCTATTTTGATTCTAATTAATGAACTCCCGAAACTTAACTCATCTAATTTTTTTCGTAACAAAAATATATATGGTCCAACACTGTGCAGGCACCACACACTTGATGATCTCAGTGGGAACATTAGACTTTTATGGCTAGACTACATACATGGCTAGTAATCAAACAAAGAATTTTTCCAGTTGACTTGAGTTTTGCAATATCTATTTATACTTCTGTTTCAAAATCAAACAACACTACCATCCCACCAGAAATGATAATTATTTAATCAAAAGTTAAATTATATTTTTATTTCTATATGATATCAAATTTTTAATTTTGATTTCTTTATTTTTAAACTTGTCAATATTTTAATCTCTTAAATTTATAAAATTTGTAATTTTATTCTCTTTTTGAATGTTCATATGTTGATTATATACATAATCCAATAATTAATATTTAATAATATTTAAATTAAATTATTTTTTTATTTTTTATTTTTACCTCATTTTATCTCATTTTTACCATTTTATAAGATAAAAATGAGAACTAGAAGTAAAATTTTGGTCTAAATAGTATTAAATATCATCTGTTATGTCATCTACTTAATTTCAAATTATGGCTATCGTTGAACCACTAGGGTTAGCTTAGTGGTTGGGAGGGAAGGAGTCGGGATAGTTAGAAGCATGAGGATCTAGGTTCAATTCTCGGTCATCTTTGTAATGTTTCCTATCTTTACCCAAAAAAAAAAAATTATGACTATTATAATCTTAATAATCAAAAGATGAATATTCAATGAAGAGACTAAAATTATAGAATTTATAAAATCTCTATTTTAAAAATATTTAATTTATTTTTTAAATTTTTTAAAATATTCAATGTTGTTCATCTATCCGATTTCATTAATATTGTTTGTTTCAATTTAGATAGAAAAGTATCGAACATTAGTTTCTATACATTAAATTTGAATTATTATCTTATATGAGAGTTTTTAGAGATTATTTTTTGATAAAAGAATTTTTATAGATTCTCTTAATTTTTTATCTTATTCAATTTCATATTTATTTATGAATTAAATTTTAATATTTTTAAAATAAGTGATAGATAAAAATATCTTGTGTCCCAATATAAATTATTTATCTTAAATATAAAATATAATTTATATTTTAAAATATCTATTTATATAAATTTTAAATATTATATATATATATATATATATTCAAATATAATATTTATGTGTATATATGATTTATTATAACATTTATTTATATACAACTAATAATTAACCTATAAAATCCACATGCTAAATACTAATTTTTAAAAAGTTAGAACTAAATTTATTATTTTGAAAATAGATAAACAAATTGAATAATGTAAATAAAAAATGTATTAAATTAAATAATAATTTATTTAATAAATTTATGGTTTCCTTCTATTTAAATTAGTTTTAATTTTTTTTACTTAATATTTTTATTTTATTATAAATAACTCTTTTATCCTTTTGTAGTAAATTTTTTTTATTTAAAATTGTTGATCGTAATGATTATGTGAAGATATATAATTAGTTTTTTTATGAATATTTTTTCAATTAATCATAATTTTAAAATTTAGATTAAATCATTCATTCAATTGGTCTAACTGAAGATCGATGTTGTGATTAATTTATTCTAAAAAGAAGAAAAAAAATACTTGGCTCATATTGTACCGGTCAAAACATATTCTAAGAAATTTTAACAATAATCATTTTTAATTTTCTTATTTTTTAATTTAAATCTAAGATAATTTTAAGATAAATAAAATATATTTAAATGTGACACATAAATATAAAAAAAATATTAATTATTATTTAAATTTATCTTCCTATTTTAAAATATTCAATTTGATATTTTTATTTTAAATTGTTGTTGAGCCCAATGATAAAAAAATTAATAAGTAGGTAATTTCAAGATTTTTTTAATGAGTTTCTCATAGTTCCCTCAATTTAAGTTACATTGAGTTTTAAAATAAATATGTCATGTTATTTCAATTTTTTTTTTATATAAATGTTATTTTGATTTTTCATACATTACACCAAATCATTTATAGTTTATTAAGTTCAAAAAATATTGTAACAGTCCATTTTTTTTATAAAATATAACATAAATGTTTAATAAATTTTTTTTTATATTTTTATTTTAATTAATAGAATTATGTTAATAATTATTTTAATTATTTAACATGTTTTGAAATATAATATAAGTTGTTTTTATTAAAGGTTTTAATTGAATATTTTATTTAATTATTAAGAGGAAAGAGAATTAGTTACTAAGATTAGGTGTTTTAACTATAAGAGGGTTAAGGGAAGTTAAATTTTTAAAAGGGAGTTTTTTAATTAGTTTTTACACATTTTCTATTTTACGTACGCTCTTCTTTTTTGCTCAAAGCTTTGAGATCAGGAGTTGGAGCTGATTATCCATCTTTTTCTATTCAATAAGGTAAGGAAGAGTGTGAAATCTCACTTTAAGTATGGGATTGGATGATAGTTTGTGGGATTGACCCTAATCTTATTTTTGTTGTAGGCTTATGCATGACGAGTTTTTTCTCAAATGTGTCTAATGCATATGTATAATAATGTTAACCGTTGTTGTTTATTATGCCATGAATTAACTAAGCGTGATAATAATATTATCTGTGTATGCTATGTCATATTGTATATCTTGTTTGTGTTTGACTATCTACTTTACACTCTTATACTGTGAGTCAAAGTGAGATGTTTCTTATTCCCTTTTCTTTTATGTTGTTTTCTTTTAGTTGTTATGTAAGCTATCATCAACATGAGGTTATAAGTGCTGGTGATGAGACTTAGGCTTCAGTGTTGGAATTTGTTCTGATAGAAAATGTGATATCGGGTGTAACTAAGACCATATTAGGATGTTATTTTTGTTAAATTATTTTGGATACATAATTTTACTTCCTTACAATTTCATTGATTATGTTATTTTGTTAAGTTAAAAATGTGATACTTTAAACATAATTGATTTATTTATAAAAATTATATTATTCAATTTATTTTACTACTTATATATTATGACATGTGATGACATGTGAGGTAGTAAGTCTCGGACTCAAATTTTGTATAAGAAAAAAGAAAGTGACTATGAAGCCAATGTTATTCTTTAATTCTTTACCGATAACATGGTTTTAAAAAAATAATTTTCAATTTTTAACCACCTTTTTTACTAATTTTTCCAAACACATCTTCTGAACAATTTTTTTCCCTTTATTTTCCAAGCTAAAATTAGAAGCATTATGGGAAAGAACTCACTGCTCACTGAATTTTGTAAATGTGAATTTGACTTTTGAAACGGCTGAAGCATAAATTTTATTTTCTAATATACACACATGCGGTTGACTTTCACGTTTAAACTTAAAGCTTACAAAATGATACATTAGCATAATGCCATCTTTGTTGAATAATACACATGCCACACAACCTGGACAATTTGATGTTACATCATTACATTAAATGTGATAATTGAACACATATAATTTGTTCTTATAATACGATTTGAACAAATTGAGCAGCATGGTTATATCACTTGTATAAAATTAACCTTAGTTATGTGTGATACAATTAGATTTCGTAAGCCATATTAAGAAATATTTTGAACCAACATGACATTTCCTACTGTTTTGTTTTCCAGGGTCTGACTAAATGACTTGATCCTTTGAAGATTTTTTTATTGATAGAAAAAGATTACAACACACAATAGTAAGAATTGAATCTAAATCTTCATGAATTTTTCCGAACTATTAAGCCGAATCTAGTGGTTCGGTCCTATAAAGATTTGAAACAGAAACATTTGACAGGGAGCTTTCCTGTTTTTCTGATTTTCTTAGCTTTTTCTCTGGCCTTGGACTCTTGTTTTCTTTTGTGTTCTTCCAACTGTGCTATTGCTCCTTGTGCTATCATATCTATCCTTGTTATTTTGTTCTTGTAATGTTGCATTTCCATTGCCCTTTTGTGCTCCAATTCTCTCTATAGTTCCATCAGCAATGAGATTATGTTCATAAATTAATATTTACCAAAAAAAAAACTAGAACTCCATGAGTTGAGATGCACACCTTCTTCTTTTCCATGTGTAGTTTGACTTGAATCTTTCTCTCACTCTCCCAAGAAAGGATTTTGGACCTTATCTTCTCATACCTGAATTTTTCTTACAATAGCAGCACATTGGTCTTGGTTATGTTAGAGTGACAAAAATGCAATTAAGCAAAACTAAATAAAAAGTTTAAGAAATGAAAATTATATACCGTTTTTGAATCCTTTCTAACTTGGCCTTTTCCCACACTTTTGCCTTGTCATTAATTTTGTGTTGTGTTATTGGGACCCCTTTATTGTTTTGATACCCTTCTGCTGGGGATATAGTCCTTGAAGAGGGTAGTCTAACAGGAAATGCACTTTCTGTTGTCCTACCAAGTTCTTGTCCAAATGACCTTTTTGTTGAAATTTCCCCTCTCACTACATGTGAAATCACAATTATTCTCAAAGGTAACATTGTATATTTAGTTAGATTGTTTATGAAAATTAATTATCTATAAAATTAATTAATATTTTGTATTAACAACATGATCATTAAAAAAATTAATATATTTTGAACTTTAATATAACTTTTATAAAGTAGATTTATATTAAGATAAAACTTCTATTCTAAATGAATTGCAGGATAAAAGAACTGTATTAATGTTTTGTTCTTCTTAAGCATAGATATGTTATCTGGAAATTTCTAATTACCATTACTAGGTTGCCTTGATATTTTCTCCTCTTTTGCTTTCACAGTTTTGGTCCTTGAAAATTTGGGACTCTCTTTCATTTTCTGCAAATTAAGTAACCCTGCTTCTTCTAATGAATGAATGGAAAATGCAGCTGCTGCAACTGCAGTTACATGTTCATCATCTGGTGTGTGTTGTCGTGAATGTGGATCAGAAAAGGACACCCTACAGCAAAAATAAGAACTTTTTAAAGTTAGTCTTAATTTAAGTTTTGTTTATTTTTAGTCCTTAAAGTTTATGATTAAAAATCATCTATTTCTAATCCTGATCAAAGACAAAAAGAAAATGAATAAACTTAAATAGAGATTCCAATTGAAACTCAAGGAGTAAAAATGTATTTAAATTAAGTGGAAAATCTCAAATAAGAATGGCATCATCAGAACTATTTACCCTTTTTGGCTGAGCCTATGATCCATTCTTTGAAACTTGTTCTAATTTCCACGTTTGAATGTGATGTGAATGAAGATGAAGTGAGAGTAGTCCACAACATTTATAAAGATGAACATGAAATGCTAACAAGCAAGATAAAATGTGGTTTGCAAGCAGCCTTAAGAGGAGGCAAAGGATCTTTTACTTTTTACTTTTCATTTTTTTTGCTTTTCTCCCTATATCATCATCACACATGCACATAAACCATAATCCTCAATTTGTCAGAACTTTTTGATGCAACCTTGGTTTATGGTTTTCTATAATCTATAATTATCTCTAAAGACAACTTTTGGCTCATAATTATTTAGTCTTTTATACATTGCCGATGTTAAGAACAGAACCTTCACCATACTCTGCAGCGATTCCTTTTTCCCTCGAAATGGAAAGGGTATAATCGCATGCCCATAGACATTGATTCTGTATAATCTAAGATTCTAATTTTAACATGTACGCAACCTTTAATTTTAGCAAATACCTAAGTTTTTTTCATTAGGAATAAAAGGGTATGGTAGAATAAATTTATCCTTATGTAATTCTAAGAAAAATAAAAAAAAGTAAATAAATGAGTTTGTCCATATATTAAAATTAACTTTTTTTGTAAATTAAAAATAAATTTTTAAACAAGTTAATATGTTAAAACTTTTACAAATTTGTTTATATGAAAACAATAATAATAACATTGAGGGTAGGATTAAAAATAATAAATTGTTTAATTAAAATTGTGGTAATGGTGATAATTATGGTAGTGATTATGGTGGTTGTTACTCCCATCACAACCATAATCTCCAAAGTCAGGTGGCAATTATAGTTATGTTGATGGTGACAAAAGTTGTGATGATGGCATGAATGGTGACAATGACAATAAAAATAATATAGGTGATTATAATAAGATTTTTGTTATAATTACAAATACTTTTTTTATCAAAAGATAATCTTATTCGAGTCAAATAGAACTATTATTTAATAAGATTTTAATCATAATGATCTATTATTTGTTTTCATGATCTCATATATGCAAGTGTTCTTACAAGAATCGCTTCATATACATATATATATATATATATAGAGAGAGAGAGAGAGAGAGAGAGAGTCAAGATCCTTTGACACAAAATGTAAGTTTAAAAACTTATACCAAATTTTATACATCAAATAATTTTTTATATAGTGCAAATTTAAATAATCTAACCGTTGAATTATGTGATTTTATACTTAATATCATGCATATCAAATTTTACATGACTCTAAATTATTTAGTAGTTCCTCATATTGCTTTATTTTAACGGATAATATAATATTTAAAATATATGTAAATATTCATTTTTGAATAACAGATTTAAAATTTTTTAAATTATATGAAATCTGACATACATGATTTTGAGTATAATATTACATAATTCAACAATTAAATTTGAATTATACAAACGTTATTGAAGGTATAAAATTTTGTATAAGTTTTTAGACTTACACTTGGTGTTTATAGATCTAACTCACATATATGAGAGAGAGAGAGAGAGAGAGAGAGAGAGAGAGAGAGGAGAGGGATGCATTTACTTCAAAAGTAATTCTTGATAAATTTACTTACTTATTAACTCATGTGTAATATCCCATTTTTATAAAATATAATATAAGTATTTAATAAATATTTTTGGTATTTTTACTTTAATTAATATAATTTTTTAATATTTATTTTAATTATTTGATATGTTTTGAAATATAATATAAGGTATTTTAATTAAATGTTTTATTTAATTAAATAAAAGGGAATAGATTTGTATTTATGGTTAATATGTTTTAACTAGAGGGTTATAGAGAAGTTAATATTTTAAAAGAATAGTTCTGAATAGTTTTTTTTACGCTTCTTCATTTTACGTTTTCCACATACATGCTTTGTTTTATACGCAAAGCTCATAGAAAAAGATTAGGGAAAAAATCACTTTGGAATCGTGCATTTGCCTTCTTCTACTTATCAAGATAAAGGGAGAATAAGAAATATTGCTCTAGTTGTGGATTTTTATGTTGAGTAGCAAGATTGACTCCTAATCCCATCTCTATTAACTGTCCATGCATAAGGTGTTTCTCCCAATTGCACTTTTTTTACTTCTATTCTTCTTCTTGTACATAATTAATGACATGAATTGTTTTTGTTGTGATAGTGTGAAAATGTTGATTAATATGTGCGAATTGGGTGGTTTGAAATGTTAATTGCATGTTATAGAGCTAGCATTTTACTAATTTTATATGAGTTTATGTGTGTAATTGGATTTGGATAACTTGTAGTCATTGAGGATATGTGATTTCCATGGAGGAAGATCATGTTCTCACTCAACGAGAAGCTCTAGGGCTCAACTCGCTCAACAAGATATTGGTTGCTCAACGAGAAGCTTTAGAGAGCTTAGCTCACTCAATGAGGTGTTTGTTGCTCAACAAGAGGCTCAAGCGATCTCAACAAGGTAACATTCGTTCAACAATTGCTAGATGATTATTTTACTCTTGTGATCTTAATGCTACCTTTTTTCTAATGACTAACTGATGTATTTGAGAATGTACATGAGATATATGATGTGATCTGTGAAGTGAGATCATGTGTATGTTATTTTAGTGAGTCTATTTGGCATGCATCATTTGCATAAAATTTTAGCGTGTTTGTCTGCATGCATCCTTTGTGTAAAAGCTTAGTGATCAACCTTGGGGATAGCTCGGTTTGGGAAGTCCTAGTCCTACCCTCGTGTTGGATGTATCTTGCACAAATCAGCTATCTCAAAAAGACCTAGTAGTATGTCCTCCTATTGAGAGTGCATAGAGTGTGTTCCCCAACAATCTACGTGTATTATTAGTGACAATGCACAAGTGTGATGTTTTATTGCCGCTACACATGATGATATGTAGTCCGTGTCCATTGCATAATGCATTATAATGTTATTTATTATTGTTTATTATGTATGATTGAACCAAGCATGATGATGATATAATCTATGTACGCTATGTTATTGTTGTTGCTCTTGTGGCTTATACAAGTAATCATCAGCTTGATGCTGCAAATGTTGGTGATGAGGCTTAACTTTCATGTTGGGTTGCTATGATGGATTGTTATGATAAGACATGTGATAGTAGGACATAATTAGGACTAAATCGATGATCTTTTTCATGTTTTTAGTTGGAGGACTGTATTTTATTTTCTTTGTAATTCAATTATTTCTGTTATGTTTTTGAGTTAAGTTACGATGTGATTCTCTCTACTATATGGATTTCAATTCTTTATATTATGAGGTATTTCAATTTATTTTCTTTAATTATGTAATATGACATGCGAGGTAAAGGGTCTCACATCATGATCTATATCAATTTTCAATGATTTAATTATTAAATTAAAAGTTTTTAATGCATAGGTCAAGTTTACAACTTTTAAAAAATTTGAAAAATTATTTGATACTTTGTTTTCATTAATTCAAATTGATGAATAATCATAAAAATATTTTATACGTTGAATTGAACATGTATGTTTATTACTATGCTTATGCTTTGTCTCTTGATTGTGTTTGGTTATTCGACTATAGCCGACATTGTGAGTCAGAGTGAAATATTTTTCATTTCTCTTATTTTGTGTTGTTCTTCGTGTATGTTGTTGTAGGTGATCTTCAACGTGATGTTGAGGATGTTAGCGGTGATGCCTAATCCTTGTGTTTGGATTTATACACTAATAGGATACACATTCGAGTTTAGTTAGGTTTGTGTTTCTTTAGTTATGTTTTAAGAAAGTTGTTATTTCTATGGTATTAGTTTTCAATTGAATTTTAGTAGTTTTGTTTTGTTAAAAGGTGATACTCTTTATGTTAAACTTTTGAGATTTATTTATGATAAATTTTCCTATTTAATTTATTTATTGCGTATTATGACATATGGGATAAATGATGTCATAGAACTTGAGAGACACAACTATCTTGATGGGACCCTAATTGTATGTCCTCCTAATATAGAGTTTTGTGATGGCTTGATCCAACCTGAACTCTTAGGCTACTCTGCCTTTAAGCAAGAATAAATGTATTTTATTGGCATCACATGTAAATAGATAGAAGAGTTTTGTCCTTGTACGAACATAGTATACCTTGTATCTTGATATGTGAATTTAATGTATGGTGAGATGTGATATTATGAAATGTGAATGAGTGGTTATTACTTCAACTTTTGTATAATTGTGAATAGAACATTGCTATTAATTATATGTATACTATTGATATCTTTATAATTCGTATGTGTGTGGATATCCAACCTTTGTCTTACACCGCTAGTTGAAGTGAGATATGTTTTCACTCCCTTATTTCCTTTGTGTCTTGTTTTTTGTTAGTTTATGTAGGAGATTTCAAATTGTGTGAGAGTTTAAGCTGCAGATGTGATAAGATGTGACATTAGGGCTTAGTTAGAACTATTTTTATGTTATTACTATATTAGCATTTAGTTTCTTTCTTTTGAAAACGTTTTCACAATTATTTGAATTTCCTTATAATAGTTTAGTTTAGTTTTAATCTTTGAATTTTGAAATTTGAATGTAATTCCTTTTACTCTAAAGTTTTCTTCTACTAAACAAAATATGTTCCATTTTGTTATTATGTCATTTTGAAATTATGCATGAGGAGTAGAATATGTCAGATAATCGAAGACACTAAGAGATTACATCATTTAGCGCTCTCGACTATCAATACCTTATATAACTAATATATCAAGTCATTTGACAAGTCTCGACGAACTAGACACTATAAGCAACCAAATGACTATTTAATACAATATGGTTAAACAAGATAACTAAGTAAAATGTAGATTTAGACATATATTACCTAATTGATAATCCTACACCAATACCTATCAGGTTAGAGTTTATCACGATTAGTATAAATAGTAACACTTATCGAAATAAAAAATAATGTTCATTTATTACTAGCATTTATTACACCAATTAAAAATCTTACTTGAGTTGGAGAAGGAAGCATACAAATACCCTTAAGCATCTACATTTAATATTAGTTATTAGTTTTAATATGAGATGTTTAAGTGTTTTTACATGTTTTAACAAAGTATATTTATTGTTATTCTATATAGTTAAAAGAAAAATTTACCCAAATTTTAAGTGGATACAACTTTATTGTTGAACATATATTCTAATAAATAAATTTTAAAAAATAAATATCAACTATTTGTTAAAGAAATACAAACAAAAATTTTATATATGTTTTTTTTTTATCTTTATATGTTATATTGTTAAATATTATGTTATTTAAATAGTGATAAATAACTAGACAATGTTAAAATTTAATAATCAACAAATATAAAATTATCATTAAGACTAAAATTCTGTATTTTAAAAAATATGAGATTAAATATCTTTATTTTAAAATAGAGGGACCAAAATTGTACATTAAAAAAAGTATAACTTAGTCATTAAATTATATATGTATCCTTATATATACACGTTATTTAACTTATTTATAAATATATATCAATAAAATATTTTAGTATAAATAAATAAATTAATATAAAAATATTAAATTTAATAATTATTTTTATTTAATAATAGATTTTTAATATAAATA